ATCAGGAAGAATCTTGTTTACCAAAGAGGAGTGGTGGTTAAGGGTATATGTACTTCAGGGGGTGAAAGAATGGGAAATACATCATTTTTACTTTTTAAAAAATTACTTCCTTGCATCTGTAAGAAAAATATTTATATGCCTAGGCAAGATTACTAAACTCAGCATAGTGTTCTGTGGGTGCTTCTACTTCGCCCTTGAAACACACTCAGACAGTAATTTGTGCAGGTTTAGGTAGTGTGATTCGAAGACGTAAGTGGTGAAATGGCAAACACAGAGTGTGGAGCCTCCTCACTTTTCACTCAGCAAATAGTGTTTCATTCCAGAGGCAAAAATAATAATTACAAAAAAAAATTTACAAGTATTGTTTCAATATTTGGGGCGAAGCAAACTGCGGAAATTGTGAATGACTCTGTTTTAGAGTGGGGGGGATCAGCTCTAAGGAATACCGCTGTCCTTTCCGACAGTGTCTCAACATTGACAGGATGTTTATGGGATCCAAGGAGTATCCTATCCATCACGCTAGCCAGCCCTGTGGGTTAGTTTAGAGTATCACCTCTTTCCCCAAACATTTGTCTGCTTTGTGTTAACAGAACCCTTTCCTCCTCCTGTTCAGCCACACCTTGTCCTTCTTTTGGTGAAAGAATGAAAAAACCCAGGATTTATAGTCCCTCCACCCCCCAAACCCCAGATTTAGCTTAGTCCAGCCAAGCTTACAAAAGAGGAGGACTTCTGTATTAAATAATGCTATTCTGGATGTGGTTTATTTTGTGTCCTCACTCTTTGGTTACTGCAGGTGAATCAAAAGGTGGTTTTTTTTCATGTGATCCAAATCACATCTTCAGGCATAAATCAGTGTTGAAAGTAAGGGAGATAGCTCAAAAGGCGTTTAACTACTGCACTTGAGAGACTTCACTTACTTTCCCTTGTGGTCATTGATTAAGTCCCGAGGTGTATTTTATATGAGTGTTCTTTCTGCTTTTGTGAACGGTATGTATTCAGAAGCATTTTTATACTTTAAGAACCCTAAATCAGTGAGCAGTTTTTAATTTTTAAAGGCTGTTTAAAAGTTTTGAAATTAAAATTTTGCTGTCTTTAAATTTAGTTCCTAAATTTTCTCTCTCCCAGTTGAATTTTCACACATTTCACTGCTATTAAATTTCTTTAAAGAGAGTAATTCTTGATTCTTATATAGTGAGGGTATATACATGCATATTTTTGCAACCATATGAATGCTAGAATGTCATGTTTGTTTGGGTTTGGTGGGTGGGGTTCTTTTTGGTTTTTACTTTCTCTGACGTGCTTAAAAATTGATGAAGATTAACAGAGTTCCAAAGAGTGACAAGGGAATATTTTGTATTTTATTTTGGGGATCTTAAAAGCCAACAGGGTTATGGAGGAATGGATTTTTCAGAGGAGTGTAGGAAATGTGAGAGACTGAAAAGAGCTTTTTTAAAGGCAGGGAGAATTTTCTTCACCTTCTGCACAGCTGCCAAAACATATGGCTTAAAAATCTTGTTTGTTACAATTCATCTGACTCCTTGCAACATGTACTCAAGCCATCTTTCCCTCACACTTCATCTGTCTCTGTTCATCTGTAAACTGTATTGACCTGTGAGAGAGCAGACCTAGCGAGGAGATTGGTAAGATGGTAAATAACAAATGAGCTTGAGTCCCTGAGACAGAAATTTATTGCTTGATAAATTATGAGCAATCAAGCGTGTTTTCTTGCAGCTAAATGCAAGGTTATGCAAATAAGAAGACAGGCTGTAATTCTGGTTTGTATGACAGAGGGCTGTGCTAGGCTACTGTGTCCTAGTCCAGACCCCTGACTTCAGAAGGGCAGCTGGAAAAGTGGAGAGGGCTCAGGCTGATTCCAGGATCTGAAAAATGTGCATTGGAGTGGAAACTGAAGAGCTCGATCTATTTAATTTGCCAGCGATGAAGTAATGAGACAACTTCATCATACTGTGTGAGTACCCAAAAAAGGAGAAGGTATCTGTACAGGGGGGGTTTTTAGAGAGCTCTGTTTCTGTGACTGGATGATGAACTCAGCGAAGTTCAAATTGGTAATAAAGTGCATGTTTGTAGTGCTGAAGTAATTAGTCTTTCTGAAAGAGAAGTGTCTGTTCAAGCACTCTTTACATCGAGGGTTCAGAGTGCCAGATGCTGGATGGAATGTTATGAAGTGTCTTATGCAGGAGTTCAGAGCAGTTGCTTGTAGGTTTTTGAAGTCTGTGTCTGTACAGCATTCAATATCATTAAAAAAGGGTAAAGGCCGTGTATATAGGCTAGGGACTGTGGAATAGTATTCTTCACAGTCTTAAAAGTGTTATCACATTTGTTATGATTTAGCACAGAATGCATCTACTTTTCCCAGAAGGACTTCACTTGCTGGCAGCATCTATTGGTGCATGAACTACCTGCCGTATTTAAAGTAACTTTTCTTCTTGGGAACATTTTGATAGTGAAAGTCATTTAGACAGATAAGGGAATGGTCCATGTGCTGTAAAAATTGAGTGTATAACACTTCAGGTGTAAATGTTTTAAGTTTCCTATAAGGGGTACTTTTCCAAGACCTTTGAGGATTTGTTGCATAGTATGGGGTTTGTTGGTTCTGGTTTCGACTTTGCTGTTAACAAAGTCTGTGAAGTCAGAAAACAGCTTGCTGAAGCTGCATTTCTCTAAATGTAGCTTTGCTCTAAGAACAAGCACTAATTTTTCAAGGTGTTGTGGTTATACTGAGCAACTGTGTGAAGCCTGTGAGCCATACAGAACAAAATGCCATCGTGCTACTACAATGGGTCAGCTGTCCTATTGTGCAGCTGCCTCCATGGAATGAGGAAAGAGCAACTCTGTGCTGATCTAAAGTGGAAGAGACCCTAAAATTTTAAGTGTATTTTAAAAAAATAATAAAAATTTAATAATTTGGTGTATTCCCTGAAAGGATCTGAAAACATCTCATGGTCCTCACGAGGAAGGTATTATTACTCTTTCACCGAGTGGTAGAAGCCAAGTGCACAGGGCTGGCAAAAAGAAAAGGGAGCTTTTGATGAGATACTAAATGTAGCTGACCATTTCTTGGCCCTAGTTCCCTGCCCTCTATTTTGTTCAAAGCGTCTCTTCATCAGGGAAAAAAAAAGTACAGATGAGTAGTCTTAAATATTGTTTAGCCTCTTTTTTTTAATTGGAGAGTACAGCTACGTTGTTTTGACTTTCCATCCCATTTTCAACGAAAGTGAACACTTAATGGTTATATATATAAAACTGTCAAGTTGTATTTTTGATAGTTATGGAGAAGGAATTAATTTATCTTATTCCCAAGACTTTGGAAACGTAGTATGTATTTTTTATTTTCCTGTATCAGTGACCAAAAAAGGGCAAGAGATAGAGATGGGCAGCATCAAGATGTATTTTTTCAGCAGAAAAATATCAAAAGTAAGCTGGTGTTGGACATTCTTTTAACAGTATTTTCTGAGTTCCTTTGTTCTTGTTCTTTTTCTTGTTAGAACGTTTTTGATAGGAATGAACACAAGAGAGAAGGAGGATATTACAAATTTTTTTTTTTTTTAACACTTGCATTTGTTCTGGGCTTAAAGTTCAGTCAAAGTTGACATTTCTGCCTAAACATTGTTGAAGCATTGTAACCTAATTGATAAAATTTTAGTCTGCTATTCAGAGTTTTGGCGGACACAAACACTGCAAAGATGGCTTGCATAGCATAGATTACACAGGCTGTCATGCTCTCCCTTGAATTTTGTGTATGCTTTTTATTCTTCGCACTTAGACAAACTTTGCTTGGGCTGAGTGCCTGCATTGTAACAGAGTAAGAACTATGCTGGTTACACTTAGCACTGTATTGTGCTGCTGGAGGCGGTCAATAGTAAATGATCATTGTCAGTTGTCAGAGGAGGGCTAGGGCAAGCAGACAAGAACAGGGTAAGGCGGTGTTTGCCTGTGAGACAGGCAGTAGTGTGTGAAGTCAAGAGTATTGTGACCCTGTGCAGTATTCATTCTCAATATAGCATTTCAGAGAACGATTTGCTGACATCTGTTGAGTCAGTCTTACTTGCTGCAGCCAAGCGTATTACCTCTCATGCAGGACTTTCTGGTCCAGTGTATAAAGGAATAACCAAGATACTGTATGTCCTAGGTGGCATTAGTAAGCAGGAACAATGCAGAGGCACTTTACTTCAGATAAAATGAACTTCAGGATTTCAGAGTACATAGTAGAGACATTTTCTGGTGTAAAGCAGCATAACCTAGAAGGCACCAACGTGTTGGAAAGGATATTGAATAATTAGGTACTCTTTATTGTCAGATCCAAAAGTTATTACTTCTGTATTATATTCTAAATTAACAGTTTTGTTCACATTCCTTAACTTGCAGAAATGCACAATGCTGATTTTATTTAGAGTTCTATATCCCTAAACAGTTTTTTTTCTATGAATTTTGACCTATATATTATCCGTATCTTGAGTTATCTATAAAATACCACTGAAAATACTCCGGACTTCATTTAATACCAATGGATTTTGAAGTACAAAACACCGAGAAAAGATGTGTTTTGCCTATGTCATATACAATTTAGAATTTAAAAAAAAACCAAAATCTGTCTATGTAGGATCTGATGTTTTCCTGTAAAAAAGAAGCATTCATATGTTTTACAGGTTTTGCTATTCTGTGTCACCTAGGGCTGCATTAATTCCAGCCTCATTATATTCTAGAAGTGATGTAGCAGATGTTTAAGCTAAAGCAAAGTGAGTGTTTTTTCAAATAATTAAATTGACACACATTTTACAAGTATTTTTCACTTTAAAGTTATGAAACAAAAATACTTTTCAAAAGAAAACTCTTGATTTGGAAATACACTGTGATTTTTTTTTTTTACGACTTCTGTGAAAGGAAAAGCTAAAAGTCACTTTTTTCCTGCTTAGACTTTGAAATACCCATTTTAAAAGACAGTAATTAAACTCTGCTTTTTCATTCAATTTCAGGTTTTTCTTCTATAATCATGGCAAAACCTTATGAATTTAACTGGCAGAAGCCAGTTCCCTCTTTTATGCAAGATGGAGCTGTGTTTGATAGATATGAAGAGGTAAGAGGCCAGCTGCATTTCATTTGCTATTCTGTTTTAAATATGTAGATGTTACAGAAGATTTCGTGTTTTGCTTTCATTGTACACAAATAAGCTTTCAAATAACTCTGGAAATACCAACACACTTTATTGCTGTACAGATTTTTGCTTTTAAAAGAAATAACTTTAAAATGTATATAATCCCTCTGATTTGAAATAAGCCCAGAGGAAGGGAGATTTGGATCAAAATATGCATAACATGCATAAAGCTCTCATCTTTGCAGATTCATAAAGCATATTATTAAACAAAGTGAATCTTTCTGCTCTTTGTACATTTATCAAATGGAGAGAGGGAGAATGTCTTTTTTTTAATATATACACTGAGGACCTGCGTTTCACAAGGCAAAGTAAGAGAACACAAAACATTTAAATTCTGATTCAAATGTATCATTTGAGATCTGGAGTGGTTTTATCTACTTTAGAAATCAACCTGTACTCTTATCTGAAATGTGATTACTGTGATCCCACTGTCAGCTGTACTTTAATCCAAATTTATTAATAGAATGCAAACCAGGGCATTTTAAACAGACAGTCAAAATAAAGTGCTGAGACATTTACCTTATACGCAGCATTGATATGCCTGTGACAATAATTTTATCAGGGTCTGTTTTTAATGTTGCTTGGACAGGAAATTTCTAAAAGTTGAAGGTATCTCAGTAAGTGCCTTCAGGGATGTTAGTTTTTTCCTCTTATCTTTTGAAATGTAAGTAAAAGGTATTTTTTATCATGAGGTCTGCCAAGATAGGGATAGTTGGTTTACCCTGTATTTTCAGTTTTGGGGACAGATAAACTAAGAAGATACTAGTGGACATTGAATTCCTTAGAAAGAAGGTTCATAAAAGCTTTATTCTTCTTCAGCAAATAGGGCTCCAGAAATTCAGCCTGTGAGGATCCAAGTAAGTGATATGGCCCATGGTTGTTCTCTTGCACCTTAGAGGAGAAACAGAGAATGGGCAGATACAGAAAGGAGTATAAGTGCTCAAATTTTGGTGTGAGATCAGAATCATTGCTTGGTGAGGCACCTGGGTCCTTAATGTAGTGATAGGGAGAATGAGACATCTCAAAAAGTAATACTTCTTCTCTGTAAGTTGGTGTACCCAGCAGGCACCTATGTGAGACTCGGTAATGCTGGGCAGACGTGGGGTGGGGTGAGATGGGAGCACCAGAGGCCTTGCTCCTAGCAGCTGAATTTACTGCCTTCCAAAACACTGTAGAAAGGGGTTCCTGCTTGCCACCTGTGGAGCAAAGTGTTTGTCCACCCATGTCATACTCTTCAGCTGCGTTGCTTGCTGCAAGGTTTGCTTCAATTTACTCCAGGTTTGCTGTGGTGCAGTTGGAAGCCTCATTTGTTTTCTTGAAGGGGACTCTTTTGGAAACATTAAAAGGCTTTCACTTAGGTAACTGTGTATTTTATCTGCAATTTTACAGGAATCATCAAGGGCTGTAAAAAAACAATGACTCAGAAGTTAAGATCTGTAGCCTGTAAACAGTGAGCGCTTGATGGTGTAGCTGTTTGATATTATCAGACTTATGACATACATAGGCTATTATTTAATTGTGTTATGGTAGTAACTAGATATCCTGCCCAAGAGAGAGGACATTGTTTTAGAAATGCTATGCAAACATAGCAAGATCCAATCCTTATACTATAGGGTTTGCAATTTTCAAGAAAAGCGTTTCAGCTCTAGGCTTCTAATTTTCATGGAAATTCTGCCCTGAATTCCCCACCCTAACAGAAAGGTCATGCTGCGGGAAAGAGAAATGTTAAGTGAACTAAGGTTCATACAGCAGGTCAGTGCAGAACTGGGGCTCAGGCATCCTGGTACAGGGTCTCGGTGACTGAACAGCTCTTGCACAGCATGAGAGGTCTTTTATGTGTCCCAGTTTCATTGACTGGCTAGAAAAGTCTGGGTCATTGTCATGTGGAGCGGTATCTTGATCCATCTTTTGCTGATAGAAGAGTCCCTTAACCAGAAGGATTACAAAATTATGGAAATATATTTTTAGCAAAACATCATCATGTTCGGCTGCGGAAAAGTCTGAGTCTAGAACAGGTTTATCTCAGCAGAATCTGGGAAATAAAAATCAGCCATGATTAGGAATCTTACTGGTCATATTGCATCTACATGGTCTGATGGTAGGTGCATTTTTTACCACACAAGAAGACAAATTGCAGAAAAAGTAGTTTGGTGAATAGAGTCACGGCGGGGGTGGAACATCAACATGAGTGCAGTTACGTAGACACTTTTGTGAAAACAAGATTTTTGGTATATCAAGAGCTTTTTGGTAGATGGGGGAGCGCAATAAATGACAAAAAATTGCCTTTGAGTAGTCTTTCCAGGAAACACAAGAGACACTCATTTTGATTGGTAGCTATGTGTATTTTTATATGAAACAGGACTGCAAAGGCTGTAAAGCTAGTAAATCTGAGGTGTCTGGCAACAAGTAGGTTTCAAGAGGGACGAGTGCTACGGTGAAGGCAGGAAAAGAGAAATTACGGTGAAGACAGATGGGCAGAGGAGTGCATGTGGGGAAACTTGTGCATGGTGATGTTGGCTCAGACTGAGCTGCAGCAACTTTATACTTTCTATCTCAGCTCCCCTGCCTGTAAAATTAACAGTTATTTGCTGCTTGGATGGAAAACTGCAGTTTGTCGGTCCTTAAAACCTGTAAATCTCATTTGATGTCCTAAGATGTTGTCCAGAAGCGGTATACACCATTCAATAATTGATGTGTCCAGGGAAAAGGAGCAATAATCCCAAACACAGCATATCCCCTTTGGCAGTGCCTATCTAGGAGGGTTCAAGGACATTACCCAATCGTGGATCCAGGAACTTGCTTGTCTTCATTCCCAGTGTGAAGTCAGGCAAATACCTGACTGGAATGTGACCATTCCTTATCCCACTCAATGTCCTTGTTCCATGGCAGAGGTCAAAAAGGCACCTGTGGCTGCCCCGCAGTGTCCTGCATCCTGGGTTAGGCTGTGGGGCTGCCTCAGAGTAACCGAGTGAGAACAAACTGTACTGGGTAGACTTAACTGACCTAAGACCATGCTCCAAGAATTGAGGGCGTTGGAGTTTTTACCTGTTTTGTTACCTAAATTCAAATTCTCCTGTATGCGAGACTCTGAAAGCAGCTGTGTATATTCATGTGCGTGCTGCCCTTGCTATATGCACGGGAGAGGACATGGAATTTCAGAAAGGTACCTCAGTCTTTAACATAGAACAAAGCACTGATCTCTGAAACAGTTAAGCGGTGCTGTAGCCTGTGCATGTGCTTGTTGGTTTTCAGTTAAGGAAGTCAGAAAGTCCTGGATCCTTTTTTCTTCTAAGGAGTGATTGATTCTACAGTGTTATCCTACATTTTAGCTTAATTTGTGAAGCATTAATTGAGGCTGGAGGTGTGTGGAGGAAATTTCTTTTTTAATTCAGCTGATCTGATTTTTTTGCCTTCTGTAGTCTGTTTGATATGCCATTCTTTCTTGATTTCTCTACAGATCAATATCCTTCAAACTCTGCTTGCCAGATACTGTAGCTACAAAATGCTCACAGCATGCATACTGTCATTGTCTAACAGAAAAATGCACCCCGAATTCTGAATGTTAAAATGAAATGGGGTTGTTTGATCCTGAGCATAGTATTGGCAGATGATGTATATTTAACCTTTACGTAGTTTGTAGCATTCAATTTTCAATAATTTTTCTGAAGTTCCATTTCACTGAGGTTTTTGATTAGGTGAGAATCACTGCTTTTAACAAACAAAACAAATCTTCATACTGCAAAGTATTAGGAAAATGTTAATTAAGTGCATCCCAAAGTCTCACATGGCAGCAAAAAGACAAAACAGTAAAAATTATCATTTTTTAAAAGGCTGCCTCCCTCATTTCTTACTGCTTTCGGAACAGCAAATTCTCCAGGAAGGTATTTAGGGAAAAATGTAACAATCTTTTATTTTTGAACAAATAATACATTTATGACTTTTGTCAAACTGACTGAAATAACGGTCTGTATTTTCTTTTCTCCAGGAATCTTTTGTCTTTGAAAGCAACTGTCTCTTCCAGGTGGATGAATTTGGCTTTTTTCTGAGCTGGAAAAGTGAAGGAAAGGTATATTACAATTATGTCAGGAATATATATGAGCTTTTATTGCACTTGGTTTATATTCTGGCTAGTTTTTAAAAAACTGAAATACTGTGTTAGTTTATTTACAAAACTAGCCTTAGTCCTATTCTTTTAGAATTAACAGAAGTGAAATATTTAAGAGGGAATTAACTGATACAAACGGGAAATATACTGTTTAGTGTTAATTAACAGTGTTTGCAAATAAGATTAATTGTTTATTTTTTCTGCAATTCCTAAGGGAGCCATGTGTCAACAGACCTTTGAATTTGTACATTTTTTTTGCCGTTTCAGGAAGGACAGGTATTAGAATGCTCCCTGATCAACAGTGTTCGTTTTGGAGCTGTACCAAAGGTACTCTGTAGTTGGTTTATACTCTTCATTTAAACAAAGAATATTTAACCAGAAGGTGAAATGCAGGATGAAGTTAATTTCTTTAAAAAATACCAGCAACACAGCTTTTATTTTGCAATCACAGTGTAAGATTTTAAGTTTCAAAGTCAAGTAATTTGGTTTGATTGCAGTAGGAGGGTTCTGTCATCTGGTCTTTCTGATGTAGTACAGTGCTCAGCTTTCAGGATGCAGTGAAAGCTGAACAGACCTTAAAAGCATGTATCAGGAGCTTTTAACTGTTTTGTAATGGTGTATTGTGATACTTGTTTTAGGGATCTGGAAAAAAATGTTTCATATTCCACATTTTATTCCTGTCTCTTTAAAACTTGTGTATCTTCTTGCTCCGTTGACATAAAATGTAGAAAGTTTTGTTTGCATCCCTCTATGCAGTTGGATGGTCAGATAGGGCAGCTGGTCACTGTCTGCCATTTTGAAGAATATCAACAGAAGTACTAGCCAGGAGTTCTGGAAAAATTTAAAACTTTGGAAATATTTTCAATGGTATTTTTCAGAATGAATATGTAGAATTTTCTGAAGTGGATTGTGGGCCTCCCTCCGTCTGGCCTTTAGTTTAGAAGATTTTTTGTGAAGCAAGATACCTGTTAACACCTGTGCATTTCCACTTTCATGTGTTAAGTGTTTCTGTGTCAACTGTAGATTTCACCTCTGTCTTTACATAATTTGTTCTTTATGCCCATTGTATCTATAGCCCTTGACCCTCGGCAGAGGTACCAGCTTATACAACATGACGTTAAGAAACAGCCAAAAAGTCACACAGATCATAACTCTCAGTAACTATGGCCATAACTAGATTGGAATAATTTACTTAGAGATTAATACAGTTCCTCTGTTTCCAGTCCTTGGAGTGATTAGTTTCTCATGATGAAAATATATGTAATTTCTAATTTAGCTTTCTAAAATAAATTTAATGTATTTCATTTACTTTTGCGTTCTCACAATCATGTTCCTAATAGTTAGTATATGTTGTTCTTCAGGTTTACACACAATAATTCTAAGTGAAAGCACTCGTTTAAGATGATTGATAAAGTTTTAAAGGTGTTAATGTATATGGAGATGGAAATGCATCTTTACCATAGTACATTACATAAGTATTGCAAATGTAACAAGTTATTTATTCTGTTTAACAGGATCCCAAAATACTAACTGCACTTGAGGCTGTTGGAAAATCAGAAAATGAGTTGGAAGGACGGGTAGTATGTGTTTGCAGTGGCACAGATCTGGTGAACATCAGCTTCACTTTCATGGTGGCGGAAAACACAGAAATAGCTAAGGTATTTCACAATTAAACATTGTGTGGGAGGAAAAAAAAGAAGAGCTCCTCGATTGTTTTTCCTGAGTAAGTCAGCCTGCTTGGCTGACTCAAATACCTGTTCTAATGTCTGCTGCCACACTCTCCAAAAGGACAGCAGACATCCATTTGGAGCATTCTGTAACATGTCTGTGTGCCATGGTGAAAGGAAATAGTAACTTTATCAGCCCGTGTGTGCATGGTGATTTATCAAAAGTAGACACTGAGACCATTAACTACAGACACAGCATCCCTCAAATGTTTAGTATCTCTGTGTGGAGCTTGTACAGCAGACTGTGACGATTGTGCAGTGGATCTGTAACACCCAGGGATGCTGAAGGGAAGTGCCATTACTTTCATTTTCCTGGTACGGGGAGCTCAACCCTCCAATATTTTGTTCAGCGATAACCTAATTGTATTGTATGGTTCATATTGTTTGGAAAGACAAAAGCAGGAAAGAAAATTCTCTACAGTTAAGGGGATTCCAGTGTACCCAGGTTCTTTTCCGTTTCCCCTTGACTTGGAACAGTCTTAGGAAAACAATGGTGCTTTTTCACACGTCATCTTTCCTGAGAGCTTAAGATTGCAGTTCACAGTGCAAGTTCTGTGGCTGCACCAAGGCCTGGTACTGGATCTATCAGCTGGAAACTTCTCTGAGAAACTTGATCCAGAGTACTGATAGTATGCCACTAGCTTAGATCCAGAGATTCAAAGGATTTTAAAAACATGCCTTTTTTTGCGTTTTTTGGTAGTGTGTACTTATGGTGTATTATAATCTGTTTTGCCTGTGAGAGAGATAAAATAGTGATCACTAACACACCAGCTAAATCCCCTCCTTTAAAAGTCTTTAAAACTGAGAATCTGTTTGCTGAATGCAGCATCACTAAATCCCTTGACAGGTCTGGTTGATTTTTTCATTGCTTTGGATCCGTACCTCTTTAAACACTGGCAGTACTGAATAAACTCCATGATAGGAGAAATACTTGTATATCTTACATAGGTACACAAAAATGTTTTGAAAATATTTAAAAGCAAAAAAAAAAAAAAGGAGATCCTGGCAGCATTCACTTTTGTACTTAACCCAACAGTGTCTCTCATTTATTTTGAAAACAGAAAGTTTAAGTTTCTTAGCCATCTTAGATCTCAATAAACAATGTTTGACTAATTGCTTTGTGAGGGGTATGTTGGCCAGTTACATAGACTGTCACAACAGGTGAGCTAATTACACTGTCTGAAAGATCTACTGCTTTATTAACTGCCAAGATGCTTACCGAAAACGGTGTGTTATGCTGCAGTCAGCTTGTGGGTAGGCTCCGAGAGTCCCAAAAAAGTCAGAGTCCTGCATCTGGGAGTCTTTCCAGCAAAATGTATGTCCAGAACATGTCAACAGTGGTGATCCACCTGATCTGATATGTTTGAGGCACAAGGGAGAGGGTAAAGTAGATCAAGCCAAAAACAATGTAGAGCTATCTAAGTTACCTTCACTGAGGGTATGGACCTATGAGAAGTAATTTGGCCTGTACTGTATTGGCTTTTCGTTTATAGTGAGTACATCAACTTGCTACTATGATTTGTGTTAAAGTAAAATTTTCTAGGAGTTATCTGCACATAGAGCTGTTCCTGCTTAATTCTTCCTGTTTTGTTCATGAGAAGACATTTCTTCTGGGACATAGTAAATCTCCTCTGTAAGAAGTGAGTATATGTGTAATGTTAAGTAGCTATGCAGCTACTGGCTGCAGTTTAAAATAGGCCTTGACTTAATCCATGTTCAAAAGGAAGCACCCCTTGTGAAATGACAGAGGCAGGAGTTTGGAGAAAAAGGGGCAGTGACTGTAACTTAAACAACCCAGGAATGTGTAAGGGATGCAACTGTAGTGGTTTCTGCTTTTTCCCCTCCTTGTTGCTGTGAGGAAGGCAAGCGTTACTTGCTGTAGATCTTTTGTCCCTTGCTCAGATAAACCGAGGTCAGGATTGCTTGGCACCTGACTGGGATGCTTTACAACAAGGGAGTTTAGTGACAGATCCAGATACAAAAGCCCAGAACCTTTTGGCCCAGAAAGAGGGCAAAAAGGTATTCTGCTTTTGTAGATAATAATTTACAATAGGAAAAGAAGTAATTCTTACTCACTGAAGCCTGAGTTATAATGGGACTGAGTAACCACAACAAAGAAGAAAACTAATGCAAGTTCCTGACTTCTTTGGGCTGCCCATGTCGTGAGTGGTATCAGTGGGACGCAGATTCTGCTGGTCCCGCTGGACAGGGTGGCAGAGTGCAGGCACAGTCCCATAGAGGTGCCCCAGCTGTGGCAGGTGGGCATCCGAAGCGCTGCTGCATGCTGTGGACAGTGGTGTACCCTGCACTCCAGGCAGGACTCGTCACAGGCTATCCAATGGGATCTGTCGTTCCCTCTGCACTGGGGCAGCCCCACATTTCTCTGCCTCTTGTGGTGATGTGCTCTGCAGGTCTGGCCAAGTCATCGCTGAGCTCCAAGTACAGCTGTTCCAACAACAAAAGTCTGCTTATTATCTCTCCACTTGCTTCCATGTTCCAACTCTGGTATTTACATTCTATCTACTTAAATTTTATTGGTGTTTTCAGCTGAGAAATTGGTTTTCATTTCGACTCTTAAAACAAAACAGCCACAAAATAGAGTATACTCTGTCTCTGATTGCAAGCAGCTGGCATGGTCCACTCCTAAAGCAACTCCACTGTGGTAGCAGAAAGTGACTGTAAAAGGTGGAATTTAATGTTTGGAATCCTGATTAAATCAGGTTATATAAATTACTGTGAGCTAAAATTAAAACACACACACATATTAGAGGTGTGAGTGTATGTGTGTATTTTTCTTTTTTGCTTCCTAGATGGACTTTCTGTGACCTAGAAATCTGATAATCTGCTTTCCCCAGTCTAGGACATTTGAAAAGGCCAGTGGGTATTTGAGTGCGAATTTGCTTAGTGCAGAAGCGATGTAGTACTATTGTAGTTCAGCAACCCAGAATCTGGGCTTCATGTCTTCTTTGCTCATCCACTTTGGCAATGCATTAAGGAGTTTAACGTAAAAGATTAACCTTAAGATTAAGTCAAGTCAGGTCTTTTTACATTCTTCAATGTTACTGCATACCAGGGGTAAATTTTTTCTGACAGTTGTTCATTCCCAGATCCAGCTGTGTTGTTGGGAAAAGGACCATCTCTCCAGGTGGTAGTTTCTGCCCTTCTGCCAGAAAGTACTGTTCCCACTGCCCTCCAGCCAGAGGATTTTATGTGAACATTCCTAATTCACTTCAACGAAGAGCCATATCATTAAGCTCATGCTGCCTTTTTAGGGGCAAATCTCACACCAGTGTTTAAGATAGCCTGACTCTGGGAAGTGCTGATGCACACCATTGCTCTGGCACTAGGTAGGGATGGGAGCAGCCACAGGGGAGACAAGATGGGAAGGAGAGTGTAGTAACCTTTTACACTGGCATAACTGGATTTGATAGAAAATAGATATTTTCTACACGGGTGTTACTCACAGAGATAGTGAATCACAGATTGATGGCTAACCTGTGAGGCAGCAGAATGAATAGCATGTGCTGAAATACTTTGTTACTCATACGCTGACAAACAACATAAAGGTACAATGCAAGCTTTATCATACAGCTAATAAGGTTACGGTATTGAAGATGACTGCAGCTGAGAGCCTTTCACTTTGACGTTCTTAAACTTTTCAGCTTTTCAGCTGGAATAGTATTTTTAATTTTTAAATGGATTTCCCTTTGTTTAAAATAGTTAAATGGACCACCATGTTTTTAGTAAGATGAAGCACTTCAGGCTGATTGGGTTTTTTGCTGTTTCTACTATATGGCTCTTTTTGACTTATAAAAAAGTTCTGTTCCAGTTGACCCTGATTTATTTTCCATAAAACAATCTATAAAATATTTGCCCGAATCATATTGCTAGGAGGACAATTAGAAGGTAGCAGAAGATTCCCACAGAATATCCCACAGTCACATTAGAGAAAAGTTCTGGTTTTCCCATAGCTTTTGTTTGTTTTGATGTTTCAAAACAAAACTTTCCAAGAAACCTGCAGAATATACTTGAAAAGAACTCTTGAAGTGTACTGCTGTTCTCGGTGTCCCATTATGTTAGTACATGGCTTATGTCTCATAGCCTATGTGATAAACATTTCTAAACTATGACTGCCTTAAATATATGAACACTGTTTACATGCTCAGGTAGCCCTGTGCCAAGTATGTAATACCGTGTTCCCTAGAGAGATCTTCATGTCCTAGCCAGTGGGAGGTTAAGTGTCTATGATTTCAATGCACTTGCTTTTCTGTTTTTTTGTGTTCTTGCTTGGCTACACCACTGCGGAATTATCAGCAAGTTGAGAACTTCAGCCCTGGTTCTCTTTAGCCGGGAGGTGGATTTCACTGTGTAAAGCTCCCCTATGTTTGTCTTGGTTTGTATATAAAAGCAGCCAAAGTGAGTTTTCCAACTGCTTTCAGAGTAGACCCTTCCAATGCTGGAAAAGTCATTCCGGGGTGGAAGGCTTTGTTGAGGAGTGGTAGCAGTCTGGACACATCAAGCAACTCCCAACACAGAGTGTTTGTGTGAGCCTCAGATTTCCTGATGAAATACTTGGAAGTCAGAGGAGTGCCTTTTGTCTTTGTGACCGAATTTTCACAGCAACGTCCTGCAAGTCTGTGCTGCAGTTGGTCAGGTCAGGGGATAGGTTTTACACCGTCCCTAGTCTAGTCTACTTGCTTTTGCTGTCTTAGGTTTATGTGAAGTAATTTTTACAGAACAGAAATGACTTCTGAGACGTGTGCGTTGGGGGAAGGGGGACATCTACTGGTCACGGCATCCATGAGCGAGGGCAGAGTCCCAGGGAGTCCTGTCAGGCCACGTCTGTCTTGGTCAGAGTTGGGAAACATGGTTCTAGTCTCTGTGGGTTTCCTAAACCTTTCCTGCTGTCAAGCCCTTGACTCTGACAGCCAGTCACAGGCAGTGAATACCAAAATCGGAGGGCAGTGCCTCCTTGCCTCCCCAGCTTTCCTGAATGCTTGAATTAAGTAGAGTACGACTGTGGGGAGACTGCACAGAAAAAGTGAAGGTAAAATCTCAAGAGGTCTGGGTAATACTGACCTCATCTGTAAATAAACTATGGATGACCTCGTTGAGAATTTCATGAGCGGTAGGTTACAGTGGTTTTTAGCTTTTCATAATCTTTGCCCTTTTTAACCCTCCTAAATGAGAGGTTGATGGCTAAAAGAGAGCCGAGAGGTCAAACTTATCTGTGCACTCTGCCACTGCTGCCTGTGTTTCATCGATGAACCCCAGTAAATGCAAGGTCACCAAGTGCCTCAGAAGCATTTGGGTACTACAGCAAAAGCTGAGAGAGTGCTGCTTCTATCAGTTTTTCTTGCACCTTCTCCTTATAGAGATATTTGACTATGCTGGAGCTTGAAAAAAATAACACAGTCTGCTTATTCCAGCCTGCAGGATGCTTAGATTTTGGCCTCTTGTGTCAGCCTAAGGGTCTGTGTTTAAGGTGTACTTGTCTTTGGTTTAGTTTCTTTTCATGGTGGTTGTTTCTCTAATATTAGACAGCCTGGCCCAGATTCCTCTTTTATATGTGTCTGGAATAATTCTTGGTATATAGAGAGCCATTCAGGTGTTACATTGACAGTTAAAGGTACTGAGACAGAATTTGAAAATATTTAGCATTAGCATTAGTAAAAGTTGAACATATGCTGTATTTCTATCAACAACATTTTGTAACTCTGCTTTCTGTAAGACCGAAGTGAAGTGTCTTCTATCTACCTCATTGAAGAATTTCATCTTACAGGATATTCCGTCTTTGGAGAGTTGGTAATTTACTAATGCTGGGCACAAAAGAAGAGAGTTGAGGATCTTTGTCCCTGTTAACTAGGCTTACAGGTCTTTCAGATTTGTCTGTAGAATGCGGGGTGCTCTCATAGCACACAAGCAAGGCTGCTGCATAGCAGCATGTTAGCTGAGAAAAATCTGAGCTCTTCTTTTATCTCTCCCACAAGGTCATTACAGAAGTGTACATTAAATCTAGGAACGGTTTGTTTTCAGGAGAGCAATATATTGCCAGCTTGACATTTGTCAGAGTATTCAGGCTCCGGATATTCTGTGAATATCTGTGCACTGGATCACAGTGCCTTAAAAGTGATTATGAAGGTAGTTGTTATTTGCAGACTATTCTGACTCAGAAGGGCAAAGAGTTTGAATGTGTTGCACTGAGCCTGTATATTAATCTATGGATGAGGAGATTCTTTCATCTTATGTCATTTTCCTTCTGTACAGTATGTTCACAGTCCAGAAGCATTTTGTTTCCCTCAGCTCTCTTATTCCTAGTTAATTTGGGGCCAGCTGGTAACTGTGGGGAATATCTGATAAACGCTCTGAAACTGCTTTAGCCCTAAACTGGCGTAGAAGCAGCCAGATGTGACATTGTAGTGCAGCTGTGTGGTATGGAACAGATAGGCAAATGTGTGTGTCAACCTGACATCATGGCCCAGGGGACATCGTGCCAATATAAAGATGATTTATAGATGGACAGAGACTCTTAGTTTACTCTCTTGCTTGGTGCCAGCAGAGATATGATGCTTTTGTGGTTTATCAGTGTTTGGCTGTAGTTCTGTGCTCTTTTGGTGTAAGAGAGTGCAGTTCCAGATTTGGCATCTCTATCAGGAAAGGGCATTATCATTGAAAAACAGTTTGGGAGTCTTCTAAAGTGGGAATCACCAGCACAACTCCTGCAATGAAATTACTTGATAAGTGGTTAGTGTATTGATTTCTCTCTATACTTGTTTTCTTTTTTTCTAGCAGTGTTCCTTTTTGGCAGCTGTTCTTGATGTACAGAAGTAACTTCAGAACTGAGTGCTGGGTACCCTTACTTTTAAATGTTAGATTTTGTTATGTTGGGTGTAGTTGCAATCTGTTGCCTTCAAATCAGAATGGATCTCTGTGTGTTTATTTCCTGTTGAAATGGTCACATTGCTAGTACTGCACCAGTGTCGGTTTTTAGCAGGAAAAATGGGAGTTTTGAAAGACTAAAGCTTATTCACAACATGCATTTTGCGTAATTTAATTTTGCAAGGGTTTTTTGTTTGCAGTGCATATGCCATTTTACTTTGTGGATCAGTGTTGAAACGTTGAGGAGCTCTTAAGGAACTACAGACTCATCCAGATCATACAGGAGAAGTTTTTGTGTAGCTGCGACAGTGTTAATGCAGCACTAATGTTACATTTTACTGTTTAGAAAAAACAAAACAAACAAACAAGAAACGAAAAAATACCACAAAACCCCACAAAAACCCAAATGTAGATGGTTGAATGATGGTAATTGAATTTCAGCAGTTCTAGGAGATTTAGATATATGTGAGTCTTGTTCAGGCATTTATCCTGAAATTATCACAAGCACTGCTCTCATCTTAGGTGAGGGAACATTTGTGGGAATAGATAAGGGTTCCATAAGTCTGTCAATGGCTTACAGTTATATCAGGTCTAAGAAATAATATTATCTCTCCCCGTGAACTTTGCTTGAGTTATATCCCTAGACAGTATTCCATGCTATGACTACTAAGTCGCCTTCATGCAGTTTGCAATAGAGAAAAGGGAGGACAGACTGTTACTGGTGGGTTGTTTTCAAGCACAAAAACACACCTGAGACACCCAAATGCTAGCTTTTCTCAGGAATCAGACCTCTATTTTTGAATGATTCTTAGATACACATGTATTCTATTTGTGTGCATATTTTATGCAGTAACTCTTAAAAAGGATAATTTGAAGAGAAGTGTTTAAATATTAATAAATGTCTCAATAAAACGCTACTTTTCCTAAAGCAAAATAGACTTATAAGGTCCATTTTAAGGGAGTCTGATTAACAATTTCTTGTTTAAAAAGAAGTTTGTGATATGCTTGTAATGTGTCATGAGTACAAGGATCTGCTTAAGTGTGTTTATGTGCTAAATTGGCACCTTAGACCTTGGTTTAGCCCAGAGGATTTACTGCCTGCAGTTTACAATATGCTATTTTCCAGAGACGTTAGTATTCTTCCTATATAAATGGTAAGTTTTTCGTCTGTTTTGCAGATGTACAGCACTCATTCATGAAAAGAAAAATATACTCATCTGTATCTATTTATAAAGTGTCAAATTCTGGATCCTGCCCAAGTCAGTTCAAGCTGCATGAACAGAATTTGGCCGGAAGCAAGAAGCTTCTTTATTCATAAGGTTAATGTTAAGCAGTGGACCACATCCCATCTCAGTTCCACTAGTGTAAATTATCTGTTGAGTAATCCTAGCATTACAATGGCATAACTGAGATAGAACTTGGCTTGTAGTGCTGTCATTTTTTCTCTTCCCATAGCTTTATCCTGCCAGGATTCTTGCTGAAATCAATGAGTGTTCATGTTAAGGCCTAATCCTTACACTTCTCCTATACAGTACTGCAAAGTCTAGGTACAAGCTATAGTAGAAAAATATATCCATAAAAAGGAATTACATAAGTGCTGTAATGCTGGTGTTGGCTGAAAGTCATCTCAGTGATTACTGGAATGTTTTGCTTTTTAATGATGAAAGGCAGAAAGCAAGCAGGGCTTGAATATGTACTAGGGTGTTAGATGAGGTCAGCATCACAGAACAGTGGTTGTGCCTCCCTGTGGTTTGCTCTAGCTTATTAATATTTTGTTTCATTTCTTTTTTAAAACTGGACCAGTTAAATATGTCATCACGTATTGTGTAATGTTGCTTAGTAATAGCTAATATTGCCAGCCACAACTGAAAAGGAGGCATATGTTTACATAAGCTATAAATAGAAGGCTTAATAAATGGACCACTTGCCTTTGCTAGCAATAAACTGTTTTAGTAGCACCGCTGATGCTACATGTATTACTTGGAAGAATGGAGAGCACAATCACTTTGTTTAGTGAAGGATGAAATAGTAATGGGGAAAATGTGGCTGGACTTTTCCATGGTGTTATAGGCTGTGAAGTGGGCAGGTTTTTTTTCCCCAACTCAGGTTATTAACGTTATCCATAGCTGCAAGGAACCTTCCCTCAAGGCAAACTTTGCTACTTTTTCCCTCTTCAGTTTTCCTAATTTGGTGCTTCTGTATTCTTGTGTTTTTCAGCAATGGGTAGAAGGGCTTGGATCCATTATACATAATTTTAGAGCTAACAATGTCAGTCCGATGACATGTCTCAAGAAACAGTAAGTTTCTTGCTTTCTTCCCCTTTCTCCTTTATTTTTGTTTTTCATAGTTCAACATTTGCAATCACAAAACAGTATAATAAAGAAAATGGTGATAAATTACTTTAGGGTTTATCTTTAATTGTGACCAGAAGAGGTCTCAAGTCTGTATCTGGCAGCTGCCCAGGAGAAATGATAAGAGAATTTATAACTGTTCATTTGATTTATTGATACTGCATGTTTTAGTTATTGTCTGGTTTGTACTTTCATTGATGCATATGCAAACAAAACCCCAAGAGTGTTTCTTGTCCTCACGCCCCTGTTAATTGATGTACTGATTTTTTGGGCTGCTTTTTGCCTTTACAGTTACAGAACTGCTCTGCCTCAAGCGCTAAAACGTTACAGAAAAATGTTTTTATTACAGAACAAATATTTGTGCTCATTTCACAGACATGGCAATAATCTTCATCTAAATATAAGTATCTAGGTCCCAATTAAAATAAATAGTATTTTAAAAATATTTCATTCTTAATTTCAGCTGGATGAAGCTGGCCTTTCTAACAAACACAAATGGGAAAATTCCAGTTCGGAGGTAAGCACCATTGGGAATTCAAGTTTTTATCAGGTACTGGTTGTATAATGTTAATAAAATTCTGTAACTCATTAATGAAATACAATATTGATTTTGTTACTAATACATACATAAAAGTAAGCACAGAACTAGACATACTTAGCTGAGTTCAGTACTTCCTTGGTAAACTAGGCAGGACTTATCAGCCTAGAAATTTTCTTGTTAATCCATTGTAATGAAAATGAAAATATAACTGCTTGTAATTGTTTTCAAAGTCACTTAGAGCTAAGAGCATCAGTTTTCTCAGCCTAAAACTCCTCAAGCTCTGGGATGCGTTTTTCAGTTGTAAAACTACATAAAATACTTAGCAAAAGAACCATAAAAACTTGCAGGTAAGTTAAGTAGAGGACAAAAAGGTACATTTTACAATGTTGTTCCTTGTAAAAGAGACAGGTACAGCTCTGCCAAAAATACTTTTGCTTTTATAGGAACCCCCAGGATAATAATATTTGGTTTTCTCCACATGGCAAATGAATCACTGAGTTAGTTGTCAGTAACAGAACAGTGTGTTTCTTTCTGTACAGCTGTTAACTGCTACGAGTTACTGATTTTCAGTCCTCTCTGGCTAGGCAGTAGTTCTCCCCCCTCGTGCTCTAGAAGTTAATTGTTGCTGGTACATTGAGCTTTTTTTCTCTTCTAGCTGTATGTGAAAACCACACTTTCAAGGCATGCTGTTTTTTCATAAATAGCAACTCAGACAGGGGAGTAAAAAGGAGGACTTTGTAAGATAGCCCTCACAGAACATGTTTTTCAAGGGAGAAGGGGAGGATTTTCCATCTATAGAATGTGGAATGAGACAAAGAGCCTGCCGTACTGCCTTCCAGGTCTCTCTACTTTAGTGACTCAAGTGACATCTTGACAGTGTAGAGGTTGCTTCAGTGTATTAATCTTTCAGCTTTCACATTGCCAAGCCCCTGCTTATTTCTTAAATTTGAATTAAACTGCCATGAGGCACCTTATGTGCAGAAGTCCCACGAGGAATATCAACGGAAGGGTAAAGGCGAGGGAATAATGCTACAGGGGCAAATTCATTTTCCAAACTTTAGAACTTTATGCCTGTGTTTGAACATAGAGCTTTATTCCTCAGTATGAATTGATAGTGCGCTAGCTTGTCTGAAACTTTTTCTGCTGTGAAATATTTTACATTTAGCCAGGCATAGATTCTCTCCATTGTGCTACAGCACACTGATTTGCATGGGCAGACGAGCCCACATGTTGCTGAAGAGAGCCAGTCCACTGGTTCCAGTGTATTAAATCTTCCTGCCAGATCTGCAGTTTTCAGTTTTAGCTCTGCTTCATCAAACCTCCACCTCCTCTTGCTGCTCAGGGACCCCTGTAGCAATTGCTGTAGTTTTGGAGATACAAGTAGGAAGGCTGTTCTCTCAGGACGAGACTACCTGGCAGATCTATTAAGCTGCAGGTGTGTGTATCACAAGATCACCTTTAGTTCATTTTTACACAGAAGTGCAGTAAAACACTGGGGGGAAAAAAAAATCTCACCTGAGAAATCAGAGCTCCTTCCATGTGTTTTCAGGTTTAAGACAGATTTTTGCAGCTAGCACATGGCCATAGGTAATGATGAGCCTTGAGTAGGTGAAACTCATTAGGCTGTTGCTGGTAAATGTCATAAATATTCTTGACTCCTCACTAGTACATTTTAGGGTTGCAGAGTTATGAAGATTCTTCTCAACTACTTTTGGATTTTACTGTACTCTGGGGCATATATCTATTACTATCAACCTACTTTGTTTGGGAGGGAAGAAATTCTGGCAGTTAGTAGTGTGAAAACCTTATGAGAGCACCAGATTTGTCTTTTGGGCTTTAATAAATTTCAGCAGTCTGAGTCTAGAACTACATCCACAGATCTTACAAAGACAGGGCATTTAGTAAGATACGTTGTATATTCAGATTTAGCACTACTGTAAATGAAGATGCGAAAAGGTCAATGTCTTTAAAAAAAAAAATCCTACTTGGTTTCTGCAGCTTTCTGTGAGCAGAAAATGGATTTTCTAAATGTGCAAGTTGCACCTGTTCAGCTAGAGCCTGTTGAAAAATTAGCTTTGCTCAATCTATGCTTGTCCCTTGTACAACTACATTTAAAATTATTAAGCTAACTTAGCTTGTAACTATGAAAATACCTAAAAAAAAGCTAAACTATTATAAATAAGGCTTATATCTATTTTGCAGTAGTTTAATTAAGTTAATTTGAAATTATACTTTTTTACTAAATATGCTTTGTATTGACTACTCTAGAGTGCCTGGAAGAAATCTGTTTTAATAGTTAGATGGTTGTTGGAAATCATAGTTTTAGGTAATTTCTTGTGCAGTGTAGGCAGTGGTGCTTCCAGTTCTAGCCAAACTGATAAATTCAGTGCAGCCATGATAAAAGATTGATTTGAACAGTTTATGTGTTGGCTTGGTTTGTGAATTAACGGTTGGAAAGTGGTGAAGGTCTGAAGTAACCAAGTCATTTAATCCATCAACAAGCACAATAGATTCATACTCCTCAATCCCAGATTTGGGAGCTATTTTAAATATTTATGAGGAAGTATATTGACATGTTACTTTAAAAAGCCCCAAACCACTGTAGAACATGGCTCACAGTTTCTGATTAGTTACTTGCGCTAATAGTGCACATTTTACATGGCATTTATGATTGGGGCCTAATTCATTAGAACAGACATTAAATTTTTACAGGCCTGGAGATACGTTGTAAATTGTAGAGCTAACATTACTCTGTGTTTTAGAATTAGTAGAAAAATAGACATCTGAGGTTTTCTTAAGAAACAAGTGCCTAAAGTTAAACTCAGTCTGTATTTTAGTGAAAACATCTTGGTACTTACCAGCTTTGGAAAATCAAATAACTTATTTAGATACTTAAATAGGGACATAGATTTTATTTACAGTATCCTTTGCAAATTGAAATTATCATGCTGTGTTTTTACAATCTTTTTTGATTCATGCAGTCTTTTCAAGACTGCTGCAGGAACCCAGTAAAAAAAAATTTGCAAAGATTTGTTAAAATATTTTATCATTTAGATCTTTCGCTTCATCATCTTATTTTTATTAATATGAAAATATTTACATAGGCAGTTTAGAGTGTTTTGGAGAGTAAAACAACTGTGAATTGCTATGGCAATGAATAACAGCAACAGTTTGTTTTACATCCTTCACCATGTGAAAATAATTAGTATGCATGAGATTAACAAAAAGTTTCAGCAAATGTTTGTCTTACTTGATGATAGAGCACCATATTCTGATCAGGCAGCTAGAGTCTTTCCCAATGTCCAGTTTTTGTTGCATTAGAAATAGGTACTGGATACAGACTTCAGTTCTTTCCAGACTGAAACACCAAAATGAAGGGGTGGTGGGACACATCAGTTTAGCTTAGCTGCTAAACAGAAGGAAGGAGAGCTGTGAAGTTTGGATCTCGTTTTCCAGCGTTAGAGGTTATTCAAATTTGTCTCAAATGGAAACAGAAATAGACAAGTGCTTTCACATTAATCATAGCAATTAGCTGAGCTTTAATTGGATTTATTTAATTTCAAGTGAAATCAGTTTGTCAGTCGCGTGCACGGTGAAATCACCCCTGTTTTGCGGAAAGAAGAGGATGTTAATCAGTTTGGTGGAAATATTTCAGTGGCAGCTGAGACCTACGTAAATGAGTTGTGCATAATGTGCCTAGAACAGGGATATTCGTAATGGCTGTAAGGAGAGAGAGTGTTCAGAGGGAGGAGTGAGCACTGCAGCTGGTGAGGGAGCAGGGGATGAAATTTAGGATGCAGCTGGGAGTTGCTTGCTAGCAGTGGCTGCTTCAAAAGGAGAGGAAGGATGCTGCAGCTGGAATGGTTCATGCCTTATGGGTGACCTGGGAGGCATAGGTTAATGCTTGGAAAGGAAGGGAAGTCACCACAACCAGGCAAGGCTGGAGATACAAGTCTCCTCACTTGTAGAGTCTGCTGCTTTCTAAACACAGTCATTTATCTATGCATAGAGTTTAAAAGAGACAACAGAATAATGCTTTGCATGGCTCTGTATCCCAGTATATTGGAAAAAAAACCCCTAATTTGTTCTTTTTGCAGTTCATTATTTTGAAATATTTTCTAATGGATAGCTTGCAGGCAGAGCAGTGCTGCTCTGTGAAGCTTAGAGCACTTTTTCAACTGTGCTATTACTTGGAAGATGCTCACATTCATCAGTTGAAGCCAGAGGAAAATGTCGGCACTAAAAGCAAGAAAGTGAGAATGGATTGTTTAAAAAGTGACTAACATTTCTCCTTTTTTCCTCCCCTGTTTTCTGTTTTAGCATTACCAGAACCTTTGCATCAGGTAAAACAGAAAAAGTGATCTTTCAGGCACTTAAGGAATTAGGTCTTCCCAGTGGAAAGGTATTTAGTGGTTTTGAGTAACTTTTTTGTGTACTAATAAATTGATGAATCATTGACATTTGTAGCTGTGATCTAAAACATTTGCATCACATAAAGACATGCCTGTTGTTCATGAGTAACTTATTAATCACTGTTACTAAAACCAAAGTGTGATTAAATCTGCATGACTTAGTAGTACTTCAACCTCTTAGATGAGGCTTCGCTTCTTTTCTCTAACAGACTATGTTTCATTCACTTATATGAAGTATATGAGCACAGAATATGCACATGATACTTTTTTTTGTTGCATGTTGTCCTCTCTGTTGTGTTTCTTGAACTCTTCCTGCTCTTTGCTCCCTTCCGTTGGAGAACTGCTGTCCAGCTCTGTCCCACTCGCAGCGGAAGCCCCTGCCAGGAGCCCCAGAGAGGTGATGGCTGGCTACAGTTGCAGCTAGTTTTTTTCAGCTTTATTCCCTGTGCAGTTCCTTTCTTCCGTTTTGGAGACTCCAGCCCTTGGTTCTTGGCCTGACTGCAGCAAGCACCTGGTGGGGCTGGCGAGGGGCAGCCCTGCAGGCTCAGCAGCTTACTGTCTCCAGCTGGGGAGACGGGGTGTAGAGAGACATGAATCCCCAGCCACAGCAGTGCCTGGCACCTGAGATGAAATTTTTCCTCACTGCTGCAGTTCTGATCTTGTTCAGAGGAGGACATGACACTAGATCACAGAATCACAGAATGGTAGGGGTTGGAAGGGACCTCTGTGGGTCATCTAGTCCAACCCCCCTGCGCAAGCAGGGTCGCCTACAGCAGGCTGCACAGGACCTTGTCCAGGCAGGTCTTGAATATCTCCGGAGAAGGAGACTCCACAACCTCCCTGGGCAGCCTGTTCCAGTGCTCCGTCACCCTCAGAGGGAAGAAATTCTTCCTCATGTTCAGACGGAACTTCCTGTGCTTCAGTAAATGTGTTCCCTCCCTCATGGAAGTTTTACATGCCCCTGTATGAGAGCTACTTTGCTTTTTAAAAGCATTGCACCTAACCTGGGACTCATCCTCAATGTTTCTTGGCTTCAGTATAAGTATCCTGAAGTTTGTACACTATTTGGGACTTTCTGGGGTTTTTTAAGCTTCAGAAGAAAAATTAGGGTTTTCTACTTCTGTGTTTATGTAGAATTAATGTTACTGTGAGATCAGAATATAAGCACATCAAAAAGATCTATGATAAAGATGAATGAAGAACTGTTTTCAGAAAATACAAAAGAAACTAGGTAAGCATTTAGGTAAAGAGCTAAAACAGTTCTCGGTTGCTTTTTCTGCTATAAAATATGCTCTTGGGAAAAGCTGTCTTTTGCTGGATAAATGTACCTTTACGTGTTGTTACAGAATGATGAAATTGAGCCTGCAGCGTTTACTTATGAGAAATTTTATGAGCTCACCCAAAAGATATGTCCCCGAACTGACATAGAGGACCTCTTTAAGAAGATGTAAGTTCAAATTTAATATAATTTTGCTTTAAACTCATTTTTCTGTATTTTTAGTACATATTTAATAGTGACAGAACACTGTAAAGATTATCTAACCTTGAATCCTAGTAGCATCAGCAGTATTTTAAGACAAACTCATGTCTATGTTTTTCCCCTTCCTTCCCTCTCAGATTGTTAATGTAAAAGTACGCTCTGTATTTTAGAGCAACTTTTACATGAGTTAGAGGAAGCACCTGGAACTTTTTTTTGCATTGGCTTTACTAACTACTGTAATTTTAACTTGCTCCTTTAGGTGATTAACACAGTACATGAACTAATTATATAAGAAATTTGAAATTTAAAAAAGTTTCTTCACTCAGTTTATTCTCAGCTGGAGGACTTATATGTTGCTTTATGAAGTAATGTTTGTTAAGTTATAGGCAGTATGGGAGATACACTGTGCCAAGCGTAGACAGTTAGTATGTTTTCTGTGATTGTTCATTTTGAGATTATAGAGCTACTTCAAGTAGAAAAGTAGGTGGTTTTAAAAGTATCAACAATGTCAACATGTAAATCATACCTACTGTAGCATCGTATATGAAAACTTACATTCTCTAATAAATTTCTTTTCAGCAATGGAGACAAAACTGATTATTTAACGGTAGACCAATTAGTGAGCTTTCTAAATGAAGTAAGCTTTTTCATACATTAACTACCATACAAGTCTGTCTGCAGTGGCTTGCTTCTTCCAATCTTTCCATTGCATGAATCATGCCATTATTTGCTATGCTTTTGATCCGCTGATCTTTCCATTATGGTAACATCCAGGTGCAAAAATCAGCTCCAGCCTCGTATGTTGTTGTGCTTTCTACATGTTGGCTTTGCAGATTGCATCTGTTGATTACTTGCTGTTGTGTTATGTTGTGTATTATGCATGGTTTATACATTTTACATTGTTACATTCAATGCAGTTTCAACTAAAATACACACAGTATTTTATTATAAGCAATTACTTTACCTGTAGGCCACAGCTAAATATATCTGCTAATCCTTCTGAATAACAGAAAAAATGAAGTAGGCTTTTATAAACAGTGCTTTGATTCTTCTCGACAGTATTATTTCAATCTATTACAAATCTAAGAGCTAAGAGGACATTTTAAGAGTTTGTATATGATTTCTAAAATACTGTGTGTGCAGAATAAGAGGAAATATTTTTATTACTGTATTTCTAGAATACAGTTGTTGGCAAGAGTATTTAGTGTTTCTTAAAAACTTGAGTGGGCATAGTAGTTCAATAAACAGTGTGGGGTTGGGTTTTTTTCTATTCCTAAAGCACAGTTAAGTTGTAGAAGACTGGCTCATTTGGAATTGCAGCAATAAATACACTATGTAGATTTGACAAGGACATACAGGTGGAAAACAGGTACATTATTCTTGGTTTTGTACCAGTAGATTCTTGTCGTCTGGAACAGGGATAGCTGCTTTACCTCTCTGCATGAACTTCTAGGGACTGGGTACATTACCAAAAATAGCTCCATCTTATTTTACTAGTTATAAATCACTTTTATATATTTTTGTATATATATTTACTTACATATCTGATACTGCTATATAAAGATTCAAGCAGTACCTTCCCCCTATATCAAATTTATATTATAATTTTCTTTTTTCAGTAGGGAATGCATGCCGTATTACAGAATCACAGAATGGTAGGGGTTGGAAGGGACCTCTGGGGATCATGTAGTCCAAACCCCCTGCTGAAGCAGGGTCACCTACAGCAAGGCTGCACAGGACCTTGTCCAGGCAGGTCTTGAATATCTCCAGAGAAGGAGACTCCACAACCTCCCTGGGCAGCCTGTTCCAGTGCTCCATCACCCTCAGAAAGAAGTGGTTCTTCCTCATGTTCAGATGGAACTTCCTGTGCCTCAGTTTGTGCCCGTTGTCCCTTGTCCTGTCACTGGGCACCACTGAAAAGAGTCTGGCCCCATTCTCCTGACACCCACCCTTAAGATATTTATAAGCATTTATAAGGTCCCCTCTCAGCTTTCTCTTCTTCAGGCTAAACAAGCCCAGCTCCCTCAGTCTTTCGTCGTAGGAGAGATGCTCATGGTTAACCTCTCATCCACCAGAACACCCAGGTCCCTCTCCACAGAGCTGCTCTCCACCAGGTCTGCCCCGAGCCTGTACTGGTGCATGGGGTTGTTCCTCCCCAGGTGCAGGACCCTGCACTTGCCCTTATTGAATTTCATCAGGTTCCTCTGCGCCCAACTCTCCAGCCTGTCCAGGTCTCACTGAATGGCAGCACAGCCTTCCGGCATACCCATCACTCCTCCCAGTTTTGTGTCGTGAGCAAACTCGCTGAGGGTACACTCTTAACTCTTCATCCAGGTCATTGATGAAGAAGTTGAGAAGACTGGGCCAAGTACTGACCCCTGGGGGACACCACTAGTTACAGGCCTCCAACTAGACGCAGCACCATTGATGACAATCCTCTGAGCTCTGCCATTCAGCCAGTTCTCAATCCACCTCGCTGTCCACTCATCCAGCCCACTCTTCCTGAGATTGCCTATGAGGATGTTACGGCAGACAGTGTCAAAAGCCTTGCTGAAGTCGAGGTAGACAACATCCACTGTTCTCCCCTCATCTACCCAGCCAGTCATGCCATCGCAGGAAGCTATCACATTGGTCAAGCATGATTTCCCCTTGGTGAGTCCATGTTGGCCTGGGATCCCTGAGGGCCAGCCTTAGCACTAAAGACTGAAGCAAAGAAGGCATTCAGTAACGCTGCCTTCTCTGCATCTTCCGTCACCAGGACACCCGCCTCGTTCAGCAGCAGCCCCACATTATCCCTAGTCTTCCGTTTGCTGCTGATGTGCTTGAAGAAGCTTCTCTTGTTGTCCTTGACATCCCATGCCAGATTCAGTTCCAGGTGGACCTTAGCCTTCCTCATTGCATCCCTGCATGCTTTGACAACATTCCTGTACTCTTCCAAGTGGCCTGTCCCTCTTTCCACATTCCGTAGACTTTCCTCTTCTGTCTGAGCTCCCCTAGAAGCTCCTTGCTCATCCATGCAGGTCTCCTGGTATTCTTCACCAAACTTGAATTACATGTGGAAAGACTATTCAAAAAGTAAAGACTAACAGCATCAGGACTCATGGTTGCATACTTGGGGCCTTAGTTCATATCCATATAGGTCTCTCTATTAGCAAATTGGAGCACATGCTTTGTCTTACTACTATGAGATATTCTTTTGTCACAGCTATTTGCAAAGTTTGGTCTCTAAATGTTTGCAGGACTGGGGTCATAGCTAAGGCATGTTGTTTTTGCTTCTGTATTGAAGAGAGAAAGGATAATGTTGTGAATTAAATTATCCCCTATAAGTACATCAGCCCCCAAATTCACTTGTAGTGATAGATACGCTTCACTGCTTGAAGCACACAGCCCTGGCCCCACCATGAACTATATTAGCTTCTGAGGTTGTTTTTTTTTTAGTGTTAATCCTTCTTTTTCAGTAAATTACTGTTTTATCATTATTTTAAAATTGATCTCTGTAATTGTTTTGGTTTAAAGTGTGCTTCCTTGAAGCCCAAACTTCTGACGAATAGCTGCCAGCAATTGCAAGAACTTCCTGGCTATCTCCAGTAACTGATTAAAAAATTAAAATGGAATTGTTGTGCTCTCAGTTTTGTATTGTTTCAGCAGCTCTTTTTACAGAATTAGAAGCCTTATTTTACGGGCAGTATTGGAGAAAGATGCATCTTGTTGGCTACATTCTTACTGACACGACACATTTTGCAATTGGAAATCTTGTAGTTGGCCCTTTAGTTGGTGACCAGAGCTGGGAAAAAATGGTCAAGGTGGTTTTATTCAGTAGGACATTCATTCTGATGACTGAAACTAATGCCTTTGGCTCTGTGCTGGAGGTCTTTTGGTCTCCATATAGAGTTTAAAGTTTTGGTCATGATTTCGTAGGCACTAAATGACCCAGAATCTGCCTCGTGAAGTGATCGTTTCTATCCCTTTGACAGCTGGTCAACACTGCATTTAGCAGGGGATTTTTAATGCTGGAAAATATAAAAAGATTATTATCATTATATAGGAGAGGGGAGTTACTTGGCAGAGCAATTCTTCATGAGAGTCTTTAACCTAAATTATTTTGAATTCGGTAATCCCCAAAGCATGCTGCAGAAGCTCTAAGTGTTACGGATTTTTAAGGGAGCATGAGGATACGTTGCTGGGTATGAGTGGAGAGTGAGCTGCTTTCCTGGAGTTTTTCCAAACTGCTGTCTCTATTTGACTTTTAAATGCTGCTGGGTGACAGCTGATATAATTGTATATCAGTGTTAAAGCTTCTGGGAAGTTTTTGGAAATTTAGTTATTGTCAGGCACTGAGTATTTTGTCTAGGTCGTCTTTTTTTCCAAGTCAGATTTTGAACAAATAAAATGTAGTAGAAAGAGAAGTGAAAACACTACTATTGAGATTTGCTCCTGCCATTCATATGCAGCAATAAATTAATAAGTCATGTAACTGTCAAAATGGAAATTCAGTAGTCTGACCAGGACTCATCCTTTCTCCTGGGAAGGAGGTATGAGAAGATCCTTTTCTATCCCCCTCTTTCCCACTGTCCCCCTCTTTCCCACTTCATTGCTTTTCCTTCCTCCCTCCCTACCACTCACTTGCTCACTCTTCCTGCCTCCTTCCCACTCGCTCCCTTGCTTTTTCTGTCTGCCTCTGTTTTTCAGCTCCACGAAAGGACACCTTTCTTACTGCTGCACAGGACAAATTCAAGAGGCATAATTGCTTCCAGCAGATTATTAACTGCTGTGCATCTCAGTTTGTATCACTCGGAGAGGAGACTGGAGGCCAGGCTGCGGGGGCTAAATGATCTTTCTCTGCAGAACCATACAGGCATTGTTTCTCCCCATGCTTAGATGGTTCACCCTCCTGTGGTTAAGAATGTCTAGTGTAAGGGTGTCCTGTCTAATATGGTAACTAGAGCAATCAAATGCATCTTTGTTGGACATACACAATTAGTCCTGGGGCGTATTGTCTTTCTAGATGAAATGCCATACTTTTAGTTTTGGTCAGCTTTTGTGTTAGAACTTTCCTGTGCCAAAAAGCTCAGTGGGGCAGAAAGTTTCCCTAAGAGAGACTAGTAAGCATTCGTCCTTTTTTAAAGTAAAACTTCATCAGTTGTCGATTCTGCTTTATTTTTTAAACTAAGTAAACATAAAGACATGCTTTTTTTGAGATGGAAAATTGATAATGAGCAATGATCATTGCTACAAAAAGAATATTTTGCTCTTAGCTCCTTCTGATAACTTTGGAACTCTTTCTGAAGAGGAAATATGTTGCTTTATGCCATCTATTGTCTTATGTTTGCTTACGACTCACTGTAGAAGAGAGAGAGTGGGGAACAGCACTTTTCTTAAGAACCTTCCCTACTACTTTTTTGTTTACAATTTTTTGAAGTGATGTATTGTCACTAATGGTATAAAGCTTGTCATGTATCACAGTGGACTGTACTGTTGCATGCCAGTGTTGTGGTGGTGTTGTGTGCTGCTTAGCAAGTTATGTGCTGCATCCATCTGCTCTATATCGTATTTCATTGGAGTTTTACTTAGATATCCAAACAGCTGATCTGTAGTGAATGAAACTGCTGTATTTTAGATGCTGCAGACTGTCAGTAGCATTATATGAAAGATACCTACTCAATTGCATGATAAAATTGGCATTGGTTGTAATTTCTTGGAATTAATTAAGCACATGCACCAATGTACTGATTGTAAGAAAAAAGATCAAGTGCTTATTCTTGATTGAATATTGCTTTCTTCATGAAAAAATGTCAAAAGCTTTACACGTAAGAAATTACAGCAAATGCTTATAGTGCTGTGCCAAGCCATACCAACAGCAACCTGTCCACTCAAAATTATTGATCACCAGTATGGGTGTGGCCTGTTACATTTCTGAATTCTGCTTAAACTACAGCTTGAAAACTGTGCACCTACTGGGGTAAAAGAGTGTTTTCACAGTCATTTATTTCTTTGTTTTATTGCATCTGCTTACATGCCACTACTCCATTCAGTTCTGGTTTCAATTTTCTTTTAATGGAGAATCAGGCACACAGTGTGCAGCTCTAATCCAGCATGGAGAAAAATAAAAGTTACGTAGCACACTATTAAGTCAAAACTTAAAAACTCTGAATTTTAGTAGTGTGTTAGAAGTCACTGCTAAATTGTATCTAAGTATTACATATATTATGAAATCCTAATACTGTCAATTACTGTGAATTGAAGAGGTGATACTGTGAAGCTCTTTGAAGTTGTACATATTTCTTTTAAGAACCTATGCTGTTTACTGAACAGTTAATAACACGATGTTTGCACAATTCACAAATAATCATCAGTAGTGGCATATTTATAAACTCGGGTTTCAAATTCTGTATTTATATTATAGCTTTATTTTACTTTTAATTTTTACTTAATCTGTAGACGTTGCTGAAGACATGAATTTTTGCAGAGGTGATTACAGTGCCATCAGTCCAGTCTGTCAATTTACATGACCTACAAAAACGATTAGGAAGAGAGAGAATGTACAAAGAAGAGAGATTTAGTTGTTTATTTTCAACATTCCATTTGCACGTATACCACGTGCAGTCATTATTTTCATGAACACGCAATAGTAAGACCAGTTGTAACGATTGCACTGAATTGGTTTTTTGAAATGTTTTTGTAATCAAACTGCCTAGGCTTCTTATGAAAGATAAGATTCATTTTCTGTCTAAAGCTAAAGTTACCATTGAATAGTCTGTAAGTTTTAGGGCGCCTTTTTTTTTTTTTTAATTTCCACTTCTTTGTTTCTCATCTGAAGTAATGAAATGCTCTTGGATGGTAGCCGTGCACTATGTTGTTTTGCTGAATTCTGTTGTTTTCTAATCTTAGCATCAACGAGATCCTCGGCTCAATGAAATTTTATTTCCCTTTTATGACACAAAAAGAGCAATGCAGATAATTGAGACGTATGAGCCAGACGAACACTTGAAGAGTAAAGGTAAATGTGGGAGGGAATTCAGTATTCACTGGTTTTAGGCATTTGGGTAATTTGTTCCAAAGCATCCAAACTTTTAAAAGGGAGCTTACAGTCGTGGTCAGGGGGCAAGCAGTTGTGTGGCCACCCAATGAACTAGATAAGGAAACTGATCTTCTGAAAAATATCTCCCCCAGTGAGATGGCTCCAAAAACCAGTGTTTTTTTGGGAGGATTATTTCGCTGATCCAGGTTACAGTGTGGCTACAAATACAGCCATCCTGATTGAAAATGAGAGAGGCTAGGATTGAGTAAATAGGGAACAACATGGAGACTCCTTCTAGCAACACGACAACATCCATGTGGCTATGGCCAAGGTCTCAGAGAGACTACAAAGTTGTACAGATACTGCGTAAAAATAAAAAATAAATTACCATGTGTGCCATTGGATATGCATCCACCTTCTTATAATATAATCTGCATAGTGCTTGATGGCAGCAGCCTAGCTTAGAACAGAGTATTTTATATGTTTGTGTTGAGAAATATTCTCTCTGAGCAAGAAGATTGCAGGAAGTGTCTCCAAGCCATTCTTGGACTGCTCGTGTCCTGAGCTGCTGTGGGTGTTGCAGGTGTCAGTGGTTGAATTTGGCGACCAGTTCTTATTCATTCTGTTGAAAGAGCTGTGTTGGGATCAGCTGCAGGAATTAAAAATGTTGCTATCCACATCTGTCCTCCCTGCCGTTTTGCTCACTGCCTATTGTAGTGTGCAGAGGAGGAGACTGCAGCCTTGCAAAGCCCATACACCTTCAGGCATCCTAGCTGGAAGCCACTTTCACTAGACATGTAGGCTAATGAATGAAGCTAGCACTGGAGAAGCTGAGTAGCTTTTACACATCCTGGACTAGTGCTGCCCCTGCTGATGAAGGATGTGCAAAGCAAACAACAGAAGGAGGCAGTATCTTAAACTGCTTCAGTAAAGCCTGAGGCAGCTCTTGGTTGGTGCTACAGCCTTGTTGGGTTCACTGTGTGCCTTTATGTTGCTTTATGATCACAGGCGTTGACACCAGCAATACCTTCCACAGCAACACCTACCCCGTTCACTTTCTCTGGGCAAGTGGTTGAGAAGAGTTTACAGTTGTCTTCTGCAGTCTATAAACTTAAGGAATCCTTCTGTAGATGGACGTGCAGCTTTCACCATTCGTTATAGCACTTCAGTCCTTGAGACCAAACTACTGGAGGAAGAGCTTGTACTGTATATGCTACTCCAGACACTGTGTTGTATGCTGGCTTAATAGATTGCTCTTTTAGTTCTGTGAAAACATGGACTTTCCAGGAATCACCTGGGAGAGAGGGAGATATTTGTCTTGCCTAGGAATCATTTGTAAACATTATGAGAGTTTTCCACTCACAAGCAGTGTAGCTTATTTCTTTTCCTCTCTACACAAAGTACAATTGTCCAAGTATTAATTACCTGATTTTAGTCAACTCTATGCCTTTTTTTTTTTTTTTTTTTTTGGAAGCACTCGTCCATGATTCCTCTTGATGCCAGTGTATTTTACATATTTTCCAAAATGAGGAAGGCTTACTAACGCAGCTGCCACCTGTTTAGCATGGAAGATGAAAAATATGTTTTATGAAGGTGGAAGTTAATCTAGAAATGGAAAAGTGTTCAGTAAATTGTGAAGAAGGATATTTTGCAAGCACCACACTGTAGCAAGGGAATGATATTGGCTTATTCTTTTAGCCAGTAATTGAATCTTATCTGATTATATTCTTTCATTTATATTTCTAGCAGGTTTTAAATAAATGTGGTAAAACTCCTGCAGGGGTAGAGTTATGGGGACTAACAACACAACAACAGCAGTGTCTTCTTACGTTGTTCCTCCATTGAACATGTTCACTAATGCGGATTTTATCCCACTGCAATCAATGGGATAGAGAGATGATTTCATATAACAATTTGAACCTTAGCCTGTAAAGAAAGCAAGAATTTATCTCAGCAGTGCCTGTTCTCTGCAGTCTCTTTGTAGATATAACTTTGATATAGAAGATATAACTTTGATATGTAAGATATATCTTCGTAGATGTAACTTTGCTGTTGAGCAAAATAATTAAGGTCAACACCTTTTTTTGCTCATGTAGGTTAATAAGGAAGGCTGATGTGCAACAATGCAGTAGCAATAAGCAACTGACTTTTGCTTAGTTACATTGCAATAACAGAAGGAGTAAGTGAAGCTGAACAAGTTAATGCTGTGCAGTTTAGTAACCAGAGTCTGCTCCAGAACACTACAAAAGCAGATTCTGCCACCTGGTCAGTGCGTGTCAAAAATACAGAGGCCAGTCTGTTGAGCACATAGAGCTCTGTTAAGTTGCTAAAATCTCAGCCATTGTTTGTCTAGAATGCCTGCTCACCTGTGACTTTTTTTCCACTAGATGATGCACTAGAAGTGCGTATCATCTGAGGTATTTTGTGGTGCTGTTTTGAAGTTCTCAGTGGTCAACAAAATAAAACATTCTTAAAGTTGAAAATTCCATTTCACCCATTTTTTACCCCCTCCTTCCAAAAGTCAGAATCAGCTGAGAGGATTTGAGTAAGACGTTCCAGAACAGTTCACCTTTGGCTGACACCAAGCGCAGAAAATTAAGGTCCAGTAGAGGATTTTGTAGAAAGCTAGGAGCAGCATGAAAAGCAGGATCACTGTATAAGAGAAAAGTTGTCTTGAACAGAAAAAAGTAGGACTGCTGCAACCTGTGCCTTAACAATAACGAAATGTTCATACATGACTTTAGGGAGAGCAATCTCCAAATTAGTGCCAGATTACTATACTCTGCAATGACTGCTTGTGAGTAGTCCCTCCTTCCCTACCCCAGATCATTTTTCAGTCTCTTGGCCACTTTAAAACTGATATTGCAGTAGTGGTTATTCTTACCTTGTTTTCATTAAAATTTATTGCTTGATTTATGTTTTTTATACTTTATGAAGCATATAACAGCTGAGAAAGGGAAGTGTTATGAATTCTGTCCTCTGAATTACTGTACATCCCATGTTCATTGTAGAAGGTGGCTTGCTTTTCATTATAAAGGAATAAACCAGTATTCAGACAGTAAACCTGAAAGTATCTTAGATTTTCCTAACACTTCGTAAATGAACATGTGCAAATGTTTTCAGGTACACCTCCACTTGTTTATGACACCAGAAAACAGACTCTGCACGTGCTGCAAGCTGATTGACAGCGATGTGGCACAGTCAGGGTATCCCTAAGTAGGAAAGGAGTTGGGAGTATTCTGAGGAGATATCACTACTTATCTGTTTTCTTCGCATCCTCTTGAGGCCTTAGGTCTGCTACGGTGAGTGCTGGACATAGGCTGTTGAGCTAGTTGGGCGCCTGATTTTTTTCTTTTGCTATCTGGGAACACAGTAGTGGATTTTGTACCAGGGACACAGTTGCTGGTGAGCTGGGAGCACTGGATCAGGAGAGCTTCTGTTTGCTTGCAGAAGCCTGTGTAAACATAGCCTTTGTGCTAGTGTTCCTGCTCTGTGAGACAATTTGTTTCCTGCCCGCTATACATTTCTAGTTGTAATTTACCATGCTTTCTTCTTCCTTCTAGGTGTCATATCAAGTGATGGGTTTTGCAGATACTTGATGTCAGATGAAAATGCTCCAGTTTTTCTAGACCGTTTGGAATTATATCAAGAAATGGACCATCCTTTGGCTCATTATTTCATCAGTTCCTCTCACAATACATATTTAACAGGCAGGCAGTTTGGTGGCAAGTCTTCGGTGGAGATGTACAGACAAGTGCTTTTGGCTGGATGCAGGTTGGAAGCAGGAGATAACAGCCTTTAATATTTGTGAATCTAATACTTTGAACCTACGTTACTTGGTGGTGATACATTGTGTAATTGAATGTATAAATATATTAGTGTGGTAAATTAAAATGTACGTATTTAAGACACTTTTTCTCACTAGAAACATTGAAAGGCAGTGGCATGTGGAAACTAACGTCAGGAGAGAGTTTGTGAGAAAGACAACAGAAGTTTGATCTCAAAATGATAACTGAAGAATTTCGGAGGGCTTTCTGCTTTGTAATTAAGAAGTGTTTATGTAAATGAGAATCAGTTTGTTATTTCCTGGTTTATTTCTTAACATACTGGAATGTGTCACAATTAACTGAGTAAGAGATTAAATTAGAAGAGTCTTACAGTGCTAAAAGCATTATTGTTCAGGTGTAAATATATTGACCCACACATACTATGTTTAAGGTGGTATACCTGAAGTTATAAAGGCATTCTGAAATTACACATATGCAGCTTAAAAGGAATTGTGTAATGCCCAAAGCTGCTTTGTAACTTCCTGCTCTGAACATCACTGCTCAGAACTTGTCCTGAGTAGCTCGCCTGTACTGAAACACTAAGGAAGCTGACATCATTTTGCTTGGGTCTTAAGGTGTGTTGAGCTGGACTGCTGGGATGGCAAAGGTGAAGACCAAGAACCAATAATAACACATGGAAAAGCAATGTGTACAGATATTCTTTTCAAGGTAAATGCCTGACCTCTACACCTGGCAGTTAGCCCCATTAGAACCCCCAGACAAGAATTCATGCAGGACACCCTCCTCTCCTCAGCACCCAGACGCTGCTCACTTGTGACAGACTAACAGATCGCATAGGCACAGTTTCTTGTCCCCAGATCTTAGGGCTCATTTCTGACTCGCATCATATGCCCATGCTTTGTGTCTGCCTTTCCACAGAAAGTGCAGGAAGCAGGTTTGCTTCATTTGCCTCATATTTTCACATCCTGTGGCTCTTTGCCCCAAGTTTGTGAGAAAGACAACAGAAGTTTGATCTCAAAATGATAACTGAAGAATTTCGGAGGGCTTTCTGCTTTGTAATTAAGAAGTGTTTATGTAAATGAGAATCAGTTTGTTATTTCCTGGTTTATTTCTTAACATACTGGAATGTGTCACAATTAACTGAGTAAGAGATTAAATTAGAAGAGTCTTACAGTGCTAAAAGCATTATTGTTCAGGTGTAAATATATTGACCCACACATACTATGTTTAAGGTGGTATACCTGAAGTTATAAAGGCATTCTGAAATTACACATATGCAGCTTAAAAGGAATTGTGTAATGCCCAAAGCTGCTTTGTAACTTCCTGCTCTGAACATCACTGCTCAGAACTTGTCCTGAGTAGCTCGCCTGTACTGAAACACTAAGGAAGCTGACATCATTTTGCTTGGGTCTTAAGGTGTGTTGAGCTGGACTGCTGGGATGGCAAAGGTGAAGACCAAGAACCAATAATAACACATGGAAAAGCAATGTGTACAGATATTCTTTTCAAGGTAAATGCCTGACCTCTACACCTGGCAGTTAGCCCCATTAGAACCCCCAGACAAGAATTCATGCAGGACACCCTCCTCTCCTCAGCACCCAGACGCTGCTCACTTGTGACAGACTAACAGATCGCATAGGCACAGTTTCTTGTCCCCAGATCTTAGGGCTCATTTCTGACTCGCATCATATGCCCATGCTTTGTGTCTGCCTTTCCACAGAAAGTGCAGGAAGCAGGTTTGCTTCATTTGCCTCATATTTTCACATCCTGTGGCTCTTTGCCCCGCAGAATAAATATCTTCTCTATTGTCTGAGAAGTTCCTTAGCTGTGGAAACAACCTGAAGACGTAGGACTTATTCTGGGAGTAGAAATCCTCCCTGGCAAGAGAAGATGGCAGCAGATCCAGGGGTAGCATTAATGGGTTCTGGGTTAAGCTGCCATCACTTCTGCAGGTGCAGTGAGACACCGGTTTAGTGCTGAGTCCAGGCTGTTGCAGGGAAACAGAGAAGAATGAGCATACAGTTTGTGCTAGTTCTAGCTTCACTTGGTACATTTGAGACTCAGCTCTGTGTTTCTCAGGGTGGGGTGGAGAACAAAAAATCTCATTCATTATAATTGTAATTTGACCTGTTCTAGTTTTAATCCTATTATTGCATTTTCTAGGATGTAATTCAAGCCATTAAGGAAACGGCATTTGTTACATCAGAGTATCCTGTCATTCTTTCATTTGAAAATCACTGCAGGTATATAGAGCCCTTTTTTTATTGTGCGATATATGAGAGAGATGATACAACTCAAATACTATGATTTAAGTGTACTTGAAAATTGTGTGGGGATATGCAGGTGTATGGAATGCCACTTGGAAGACACTGTACTTTAATATACTAGTCAATCGTTAGCTTAATAATGGTAATATTTTTAACTGTGGTATATCTGTGAAATATGTTTGGATATTCCATTAGTTGTGTGAGATTCAGGTAATCTACTTTTTGGTCTTATTAAATTCATTTATGTCAGATAATAGACTGTTAAGGACAGTTTAATTACAGTATAGTAATACTCAGTTGAGAAAAAGTGGGCAGTATGTAATTTGATTTGGGGTGTCTGTATTACTCAGTAGTATTCTGTTTTGCTGAGTAGTGATTTCTTTTTTTATATTTAAAAATTAACATCGTCTTTTACAGCAAATATCAACAGTACAAGATGTCAAAATACTGTGAAGATCTTTTTGGAGATCTCCTGTTGAAGCAGCCTCTAGAAACACATCCAGTATGTTATATTCTACCAGTCTTTTTTTTTTTTT